CAAGGATAATCCGACGGAATCTGATTACAACGAGCAGCGTCCTTCTGCCAACCGGCTGCTCAAGTAAAGCCTACGCAAGGATTGCGCAGGATGGTTGTCTGTGCGTGCGTCAGAGATGGAGACCGCTACCCTCTCTGGCAACACGCGCAAGCTTTTCCAACTCATTCGGTCCACTGGCCTCAAAAAGCCTGGTACCAGTGAGGTTATTTGCGTTCGGATGAGTCTCCAATCACTAACTAACAGAGGCGTTTGGACCGCTGGGTCGAGAACTCGCAATTCAACTGGCTCCCCCCGTCCATCAGTACATGAAGTGCACCTTGTTGTCTACCCTAGCTCGTCCCACTAAATCCACCCAGCGGAGCGGGTCTACCTCGTAGTTCGACGCTTGAAGCGATTCAAGACTGCCGGCTCAGACGGACTTCCTCCGGAGCTGTACCGATACGGCGGCGTGGGGATCATCAACCAGCTGATCACATTGTTCGCAAAATCGAATCAGCTCTTGTCCCGATTTTCAAGAAAGGCGTTTGCACTTCATGTATAATTCATCGTGAGGTTAGTCTTATTTCAGTTGCATCCAAGCCATTGGAATCCATTCTGCTTCATAGAGTATCCCCAATGCGTGCATCTTACTACCGGGAAGAACAAGCTGTTTACCGTCCCGGACGCGGATACGTGCACCAAATCTTTATGCTCCGCCAACTTCTCGAACATCGCCACATTTATCACAGGCCCACTATCGTTGCATTCCTAGACATAGGTGCCGCTTTTGACTCAGTTGATCGACCTGCTTTATGGCGTTGTTTGCTAAAGAGCGGGGTTCCAGAGAAATATACCGCCATCTTACAAGCACTTTGCCTTCATACCTCCGGCAGATTGAGGGTCTATGGCAGGCTTTCCTCGCAATTCGCTGTCAATAGCGGTATGCGACATGACTGCCCTATGTCCCCATTCTTCCTTAACCTCGCAATCGACGGCGTTCTGTCGAATGCTCTAGAAGGTTTCCAACATTTTGGCTTAGAGCTTCTACCGGGTGAGCGCGCGACTGACTTAGATTATGCTGATGATATCGCCTTACTTGGTGACGATTCTCAGGGTATGCAACTCGTTCTGGATCGTTTGGCGGTTGAAGCATATAAGTATGGCATGAGCTTCGCCCCATCGAAGTGGAAAGTACTGCTCAAGGATTGGCTTCCACCTGCTCCCGTGCTCACTCTCGAACGTGCACAACTTGAACAGGTACATAGTTTCGTCTACCTTGAGAGCTGTGTTTCTGCTGGCGGCACTCTCAGCAAAGAAGTTTCTCTTCGCCTCCCTAAAACTCGATCAGCATTTGACAATCTGAGGCACTTGTGACGTCATCGCCACATCTCTTTCTCGCTAAAAGACCCGCGTTTGCAGCACATCTGTTCGCTCAGTGTTGGTGTATGGGAGTTAGTCCTGGCCGATTCGCGTGGAAGACATGCGTCGTCTTTCCGGCAACATCAGGTTCACAGTAATGACGTCGCATCTTGGGGAATGCGAGTATTCCCTTCAACAAACTCGCTTTGCTACGGCAGTTGAAATGGCTCGGTCACGTCTTACGCATGTCACCTGAGCGTCTACCGCGTCGCGCTCTATTCGCTCGTCAAGGACCTGGCTCGAGGCGACCGCGTGGTGGTCAGCCTTCCACTTGGCGACAGCACATGCATTCGCTGACGTCGTGTCTAGCTGCTGTTGGATCCGTACGTCTTCCAGGATGGGGACCCAAAGATGAGGAGTGCCAATGGCTTAACACTCTTGAAGATATGGCCCGCAATCGCAATCAGAGAAAGGATTGTGTGCAGAACTGTATTGATTCACATGTTTACTACTTCAAACATTGAAACGGACAAATAAAGAGAAAAATCGGCGTGTGGCAAACAAACTAAAAATGTTTTGTTCTACTTTTTGTCAAAATGTTCCTTTCTTCCTGCGACATATTAGCTGAAGTGTGTTGCTCACCTACAACTACTATACCACGATGATTATGACGCGATGACTTCCCCTTATCCGCTAATCTCCATGGTTTTTTGTTGGCTCTGTGTCTATTTGCTAGACTGCTGCGATTACATACCATATCACAGGCCCATGCAACCCACAAACGTTACCGGCCAACTCGAAGACTCCTTGTCAGACATAGGCAATTCTTTGAGGTGGGAACTGTGAACACCAGGCGTGCGGGCTCTCGAGCATGGGGTCATCATCATCATTCTTGCACATTAGCTGATAATGAGAAGCACACTTCGGTTTACTGTGCTGCAATACCAAAGATGTATAGATGGCGAGATAATAAACATTGCAGTATACGATAAGTTACAAAAGCAAGTAAAGAATGCTAAGTATCATATTCTTGAAGATTCGTCACAGCTAGACTCAGGCTGACAGCCACTACACACCCAGAAAAGCGATTTCCTTGCTATCTGGTAATCGTCTGCCTGAGTCTAGCTGAGACTAATCACCACCAAGACCCAATAACCGCCCTATACTACTCACTTAGTGTCATTTTATCCATGCAGTTTGAGATAGTTGTTGTAGGATGCAGATCAGCGCGAAGGGGTTCCCAAGAAACTCACAACTCGAGCCCCATTGAGGTTGGCTCTTCGCAATATCATTGTCTTTGGGATACCTGCCTGACAGTCGGGTGACACCAACTGATGTAATCACTGTCAAACATTTGAATTTCCACAATTTTAACCAGGGGCTGCCTATTTAGAAGTGGTCGAAGACAAATCGTTGAGCACGGCGTACTGTCTCGCCGTCAGAGACACTGCGTAGTGCTCGTGTTCTTCGTCCGCTAAGTTGATCTTAAAAGCGTTATACGGCTGCTTTTGAACTAAACGATCGGTCACCGGCTCCCAATGGGCGTAATCCCATCACTTTGCTCCGCTGCCTTGCGGGTAGGATATCCAGCCATAGACTCGGACTGGTGTCCCCTAGTTCAACTACATCAGCTCGGGCAGCCTAGTAGTATTGCGCTGTCTGACGATGCATAGATATCTGTGTCATGTTTGGTTTTCCTTCTACGCTAATTTTACCTCCCATTGTTTTTCATGGCTTTTTATGGCTTTGTCTATTTTTTAACTATCAGAAAATATATCCATCAGCCCATAGCCAATATTAGAGGAAAGCCACTCAGTGACCGATAGGTGCACGCATGAGTTACCGGTGGACTACCCTTGAGTGGCCGATTTGGATGCCCCCGGTCGTTCCATTGAGACAGTTTTCGATTAGATTTCGGCCACTCAGAAAAATTTTACCTAATCTTAACGCACGCGGTGAGTGCATTTTTCCTGGTCGCAACAATCATTCACGTTCAGAGCAGACTAGTTAAAGCGTCATAGTGCAGTACTGCGTTTGCAATGCTACGTTGGAAACGTTTTGTAGTATCAGGATATGTCTTACTGGAACGGCTTGGGAGACAAATCCGTCATTCGCGCTGGTTTACTACCGTGCCGGCAAAGTTGGAAAATGACATCAACCATACACCGGAACATCGTGCCAACGACGTTCCGCTGCCCCACCCGACCACTATAAGTCGTGCGAGGCCTGGGTATACCGCGACGTCACCTGCGCCTACACGGAGATCCGTACTGACGACCTCAGGATTATAACGCAGGCGTGCAATCCTTTCAACTGGCACAAGTGGATGCTCAAACGCCTCATTGCGGAGTGCTGTCATTTTCAAAAATACTAAGGTAAAACAAAAATTACGTCGTTTTTACATTTAACATTGCACTTATAGAACTTAACGTCACCGACCATTTCGTATCTTTTCAATAACTCGTATATACACGATAAAAATAGAATGAAACACAAACAGGCCATGGTTGGTGGAGTTTGCGGTCATATTCAGACATTGTTATTTCTTTTTTTCATATTTCTGCTAGTGACCAAGTAACATATGCAGTGAAGCAGCTGAGCTTCTATCCGTGCTGGTAATGAGTAGATCATAGCTTTCAGCCTTTTTCCGACCAGGAGGATACTGTATCTGGGTGTACCAGGCATCGATTCTTGCCTAAGGATGCACTTGGACGGTGCCACTCTGTGTTCAATGAATCTTGCAGCGACACTAACCATAGCGCTGAATTAAAAGTGTTCCAATTGCGACGAACCTTTCTACTGAGTCTCTGGATGGTTGATCGTACCGCAACAAGATCAAACAGTTCCCTAGGCGTCACTCATTATGCATCGTGGAACCTACTGGAAACTATACCATGACGGGCTCCACAATAAAATAAAAGAGTAAACGGGAAATATGACAAGCCTGGTGAACGCAACTTGTTAGGGGAAGAACTTCTGACTATTTTTTGAGGACGTCGCAGTATCCATAGTCTGCGCGCAACCGAGGATGGTTGCGTACTACTGAAGCATCGGCACGGCTCACAGGCCTATCGCTGATGCTTTTCTTTTTCCTATTTCCCAGTGATTGGTGTGATCGCGTTACTCATAATCCACTATCGTGTCATCCAACTGTGGTTTCTCATATCGTTAAGTTTTTTAACATTGCCGGCCTGTAGCCTTAAGGATCACATGCCTGTCTTATACTCCTAAAGACGTGGGTTCGAGCCTGCGTCGGGGACCGGGCGACCCTCGTAATATCCTTAGCCCACTCGCTACAGGTGGTGGTTACGTGGCAGCAAAGCGTCGGTACTGCGTACCGGCGTACGGATACTGATGCCTTCCCCCTTTATCTTTTTAACGACAGTAAACCTGTTGGTAATCTTTTCATCCTTTATTACGCCTATGCACGTTACGCCCCACTAATAATTCCTGGTAGTTTGCATGCTGAGTAAAGGCCCAACTCGTTTTACTGAGCATTTGTCCAACGATACACACTGCCTGTCAGTCACATCCATCGTCATGCTCCGTCTTGCTTCTTTTGTTTGTAGCCCATATGTCATCGAGCGGAGCACATTGCACCTCCTGTATACACCATGCGATGATAATACATGCTGTTCATCTTTATCACAAGATGAGGCGATGGAACTGCGACACTTAGTTCCTCTGCTTCACGTTTTCTCCGCGCAGCAATGCGTCTGACTATGTGGAATCCTATTTGTGGTCAGCAACTGTTTCCGGTATCCCTGTTTACTATTACACTCTATCTTTTAATCCTCGTGACCAAATTCTTCCAACGATGCACTGGCGAAAGTATACAAAGTGAGTCTTGACCATTCTTGCTCAGTGACATCATGCCCATTTTGAGTTGATTTGATGAGTTCTACTTATTCTGTGCGAAGGTAACTGTGATTCGTCTTCCTGTACCACCCTTGTTTACGTCAAGTGATACACCATCCAAACTCGATTGACGTCACGACATTTCCGCGAGCAACATTGGCTAAGTGGAGTAAACGAACTGCGAACAACACTCAGAACCAAGCATTGCCTATCTTTTTGTGCGATTGGCGCTTGCTATCTACCCAAATGAAGGCCTCTGGTTTAGGCACATCATTGCTTGCGAACCCATTGTTATTTGACTGCTACATTTTTTTCATCCTGTCCCACAACTATTCCATCTGGTATTTTCGACCTTCACCTTCCTCGCATGATGCCAATTATTATTATTATTATTATTGTTATTGTTATTACTATTATTGATATCCTTAACGCGAGTAATGGCGGTGATGGAAGTTATAGTAACAGTTATTGTTGCTGTCAGTCAAAGCAGGTGGGTCGATCCCACCTCATTGCACGGATCATGGCTCGTCAACCGAACTAAACCGTGGTTGGGCTCCGTTTTTTCTGCATCTGGAAGTAGTAGTCGAGATGATTGAATTGTTAAACCAGGAAGTTCATTTAATTCGTCAATGGACCTCCCCTAACTTGTTTGTTTAAGCATATATATCCGCTCATGTGCAACAGTTGGCGGCCAAAATACGTCTCAGTGGTTGTCATCGTCTCATTTTAAGTCATTATCACTTAGATAAAGTAGACTTGTTTGCTGTTCTCTTGTTTTTTTATTTGCCATTATCATGTGGTATTACCATGTGGCCTGGAGGTTCGTTCGCAGTGCACATTAAACGCTTAGTTGTGTTTGATCACCGTTGTTTTGCGAAGTATTGCTCACGCTTGGTGGGAACACTGGGTGAGTAATGCAGAGATCCGCCAGTTGATTTTTTGGCAAGAAGCCTTCTGGTGCCCCTCTCGAGTGTTTGCTGAAACTTGACCGCATACGTTGGTTAGGACATGTCCTCAGTAGGTCAGTTGACCGGCTTTCTCGGCGTGCATCATACGCCGTGGCTGCCCCAAGTTGGGTGAAACCTCGAGGTGGCCAGTCCATGACGTGTCATAGTGACATGAAGAAATTGACTGAGAGACTTGATCAGACTGGCGTATGCTGTTCTTGTAAATGGGAACCCCGAGATGATGGTCCACACTATACAATTTTTAATTGATTTATCCTTAACGCAACAGCTTTCATCCGTAGTGCAGATACTTGCATCCTTAGTGCAAAAGCGATGGTCCAATAATCACGAAAATTGCATCTACCACGTCCTCAGGGAGTCAGCTATCCGCTTGCCTCGTTTGTTTTCTCAAGCCCTCTTTGTGAAACCCTTTGGATTCTATTCACAACGCGCTTGCTCAAGCCATAGGGTGCGATCCAGTGTTCCGTTCATGTTCACTGCGATATCTGCGTTCGTCCGGAATTGTGCTGACTTCGCCTAATCTTCACATCCCAGACCTTGGGGTTTGGAGCCCGTTCGTGAGTCAGCCCCTTCTTTCACCCCCTTATTGTCCGATGCTGGTGCGTACCTAGGCAAGCGGATGGCTTGAGTGACCAAACGTGATGTCCATTTGAGACTAAGGGACAGCTGACTCACTAAGGGTGTTGTAGATGCGATTTTCGGGACTATCGGATTATAGTTTTTGCGCTAAGGATGTAGGCTGCTGCACTATGGATGAAAGCCATTGCGTTAGGCATACATTCACTTGAGAAACGGTACAGTTGTTGAAGGCCTTTCGATCATGACGCAGTCAGTCGCGTTCCTGCATTCGGTTTCTCGCATCTGCCTGCTAATCTTCATTCCGTCTCAATTAGTTTTGCGCACTCCTTGCTTAATTCTCTTTCCTCTGTTTTCCGTTTGGTTTTCGCCTCATTTTCTTACGATTGTTTCTATGCTGACGTGGGTAGTGGCAACTTCATCTACCGCACTTCGGTGCCCGGATCACGGTTTCTCAACTGAACTGCCCCAATTTTTCGTTTTATCGTCACACATCCACTTTCGCATTTGGCCAGCTTCCTGAACCACGCGATGCACACTCGTTCATCTGTTGCTTCTCGTTACGCCTTGTTCGTGCGTATTCAAGATGTGCTCGTCCGTAAACTGTGTTTACCGACCCTCCTCCCTTCTTTGTGGGCGCGTCACCTTTGTGTGCTGATGAGGCGTAGTCTTCCATTTTTTCAGAGAGCGTTTTTTTTTCTTCCTGCCCACCGACACAGTTTGAATCATGATGCCCAGTCCAATCATGTAAACTGCGGTGCAGTTGTGTTTGTATGTGTGCGCGGGTGTGCTGCTGCTGCCGCCACCGCCACGCCGATGTAAACGTTCGTCTCACGGTTGTTTGGCTATCGACCGTTTGCCTCGGCTATGTGCGTACACAGATAACTGCCCACCATATTCGGCGCTGCTTGTTGGCGCAACGCTTGCCGTGACCGCTGTCACGTCGACATTTCGATGGGTCGTTCTCTCTTTATTCCATTGGCACGCATCCGCTCATATCCACGCGGGTCGTATCCATAGATGTAGCGATACAACAGTCAGGATAGAAAGAGAAATTTCCCAGCAATAACTTTCCTCACGAAAACGAATTGATTTAATAGTATTCATTCCAAAACATTTGACTAAGACATGCGACATCTGTGCCTACTTTCAGCTCGACTGTATTAGCTGTGGGCTACTATTTTTAGCGGCCGATGTCTATGTTTCCCAGTTGGCAAAATATCTTAGACCGCGTTTCAATTCATTCATACTGTCTCTCGATAGCCGCCCATGTGGGTAGATTTCGTCATTGCTTTCTGTTTTGGACAGCTGAGCTAGCTCATGATGCACGCGGTTGTTTTTAGCTAGAGTCGCATATAATTTGGCGAGTCTTCCAGGGAAACTCGTCATCGTATTTAAATACCCTGTGTTTGTTTTATTCCGCTCAGCAGCATTATATCACGCACCAGGCTCCGATGGCTGGGCCACGTGTTGCGCATGCCAGCACACCGACTCCCGCGACGTGCATTGTTTGCGCGTTGTGGGTGCGGTTGGAAGAGGAGGAGGGGAGGCCAAGTGATGACTTGGTCGAGAGAAATGAAAACCCTCACTTCAAAGTTGGCGTCGGTTGGTGCATCCCGACTGCCTGGCTGGGGTCCTAAGGACGGTGAACACGTTTGGTTGGACACACTTGCTGATATGGCTAGGAGCCGGCACCAATGGCGTTTGTGTTGTGATTTCCTTTGCCCATCCCTCTCCTGTTTAGTATCCCCCTCCAACCACTGATCTCATCTGTTAGGCATAATATGATTCTCTTTTTACGGCAGCCAGCTGTTAGCTCTCCGGAACGATGTCCATCCGTTACTGGGGACTCAGCGGGCGTGCCACTGTTTTTTTTCCTTTTCTTTTATTTTGTATTGCGGCACAATAGCTGAGGTGTATTCCACCTTCAGCTAACGTGTAATGATGATGATGATGGTGTATTGGCCTGATGCGAACCGCCGAAAATAAGCTTGTTCACCTAACCGGGATTATTTTCTCAGTTGCAACAGTCCAAGCATCCCACTGTGTTGAGAGAACTTAATCAATACGTTACGTTCGGCACAAGACTTGTGGTATCAAAGGCGGCAGTGCCGTTTTTCGATGAGTGACTTTTGTGTTGTGAATATCCAAAGCACTTTTGGAAGATTCTCAGAAGTAGTGGAGTTAAGCAAACAAGCACTACTTTGAAGCGTCACACTCTGAACAAGCGAGACACGGTTGTTTCTCTGATTGATGAGCTTGATCGCAACCGGTGTATCTACTCCGACGCACTGGGTGATTTGGACGATGAGGAATACAAACAGTTCGAATCATTCGTTCAACGAATTATGGCTCGGCAGGTGGAAGTACGAATAGCCTCATTACGGAGACAGATAGCTTCAAAAAAGCAGAGTAACTCGTTTCCACCTGACCCTGAGAAGTACGTGCACAATTTCTCCCCTTTGCAATTATACAAAGCACAAATGGAAGTCCTCTGACTAGGCCCGAAATTCTGCTACCCCCGAGCTAATGTACAAAAGTTAGACTTGGAAGTCCAATTCGAAAATCTCTATTCTCAAGTTTTTTCCTTAACTCCATCTTCAACATTAACAGCTGAACCGTACAAATCCACATTGGTAAACACATGCTACCAGTACCTGAGGTACAAATCGACCATCAAATATCTTCTAAAGAACAGGCATTTGGATGCTCTGAAGGAACTCAAAAAATAACAAGAATGTTTTGTTATCTAGACCGGATAAAGGAGCAGGGATTGTATTGATGAACAAGTCAGATACTATGGATAAGATGCACACCATCCTAAGAGACGCATCGAAATTCCGAAAAGTACAAAACGAGAAAGACAGGACGCCGGCAATTGAGAAGACCATGCCAACACTTTTGCGACATTTGAAACAAAATAACATCACAGACTCTGACACTTTTGAATACGCCAGACCTGGTGGAACCGTGATTCCGAGGCTTTATGGCTTACCTAAGATCCACAAGCAAGGTGTACCGTTGAGACCGATACTGGACATGTACAACTCTCCCTATCATCTGACTGCTAAGTGGCTTGTCAAACGCCTCCGGCCCGTCAGGAAAACCATATCTAGATACAGCCTCCGGGACACTTTCGAATTTTTGACTCGTTGCAACAACTCAATCTAGCTGAACGGAAGATGTTCTCGCTAGATGTGGCGTCACTTTTCACCAACGTCCCGTTAGGATAGACCATTGACTATCTCTGTGAGTTTATTCAAGCGCACAGCATCAACATCAGTATCCCAAATGACTGTTTAAGGCAACTTCTACTGGCATACACTAAGAACATTCAGTTTCAGTTCAATGAGACGTTTTACAGGCAAATAGACGGGGTAGCTATGGGTTCACTATTAGGACCGCTACTCGCTGATGTCTTCATGAGTAAGTTGGAGAATACTCAGGTAAACGAATGTATCAACAACTTGGTTTACTACGGTCGATACGTAGATGACATATTTTGTGTTGCGCATGGTCGAGTATGCATCGTAGATCCGCTAGCCCACTTCAACCCTGCACACAGCAACATAATGTTCACCAGAAAACTTGAAAGTAACAACTCCTTGTCATTCTTATATGTCTACATCACCAGGACATCAGACGGGACAATACAAAGGAGAGTATACAGAAAGACAACTTGGAGCGGCCAGTTTCCTTCCAATGAGTCAGAAACGCAACCTTGTCCGTTGTCTAACGGAAAAAGCGAGGAAAATATACACGGAAAACACGCTGTCGGATGAATTGAGTTTCATTCGAAGCGTTCTCGAACAAAATGGTTATCCGGACAAACTCATCCGTAGGCACATGGAGCCACGACCACCAAAGTCCAACCAATCACCGCAAAAAGAGCGCTTCATCTACTTATCACTGCCTTTCAAGGGTGATGTGATAGCAGAACGAACTACTCGTAGGCTCTGTATTGCAACGAGCGAGTGAACCGCTCAGCACGATTATATCACGCACCAGGCTCCGATGGCTGGGTCACGTGTTGCGCATGCCAGCACACCGACTCCCACGACGTGCATTGTTTGCGCATTGTGGGTGCGGTTGGAAGAGGAGGGGAGGCCAAGTGATGACTTGGTCGAGAGAAATGAAAACCCTCACTTCGAAATTGGCGTCGGTTGGTGCATCCCGACTGCCTGGTTAGGGTCCTAAGGACGGTGAACACGTTTGGTTGGACGCACTTGCTGATATGGCTAGGAGCCGGCCCCAATGGCGTTTGTGTTGTGAGTTCCTTTGTCCATCCCCCTCCTGTTTAGCATCCCCCTCCAATCACGATCTCAATCGTTAGGCATAATATGACTTTCTTTTACTGCAGCCAGCTGTTAGCTCTCCGGAACGATGTCCATCCGTCAGTGTGGACTCACGGGCGTGGCACTGTTTTTTTTCTTCTTTTCTTGCCTTTTGTATTGCGGCACAATAGCTGAGGTGTTTTCCACCTCCAGCTAACGTGTAATGATATATATATGATATATCTGTATTGCAACCGCGAGAACCTACTTTGCAGCTGACCTCCGTGTCAACTTCGCTTCTAAGCCAGTCGTGAGTCAACATCTCAAGGACAAGATACCGAGGTCGAATATTTCCTTCTGTATATACTATTTTTCTTGCTCGTGTCGAGCAAATTATATTGGAAAGACGACCAGGCGACTGTCTGAGAGAGTCCGAGAACATTGCTCGATGTGGCTCTACACTGGTGTCAGAAAGACAGTAGTCAGCGCGGTGCTGTGGCATTTGGTCGACTCAAATCACCAAGTGAATGTGCGATCGGCCTTCCGGCCTTTCTACAAGATATCTGGATGACACACGCGAGCCCTCCGATGTCGCCTATTAGCGACAGCTGAGGCAATCGCTAATCGGCTCCATAACCCTAACTTATGTGCTCAAAAGAAGTTTGTACAGGCCCTACAGCTACCATGGCCTCAAGCTTCCCCCTGTCATGAAGTCACGCTTGCCCCTTCCACTAATGTTGCCCAAGCCAGTGTCGTCACTTGATCTCATTGACCGATCAATTCACTTCATTGATTCATCGTATTTAAATACCTTGCGTTTGTTTTATTCTTATTTTCTGTGGTGTATTGGCCTGATGCGAACCATCGAAAACAGGCTTGTTCGCCTAATAATCTTTTGCTTCTGAAACTCATCATTGTCATGAAATGTTGGTCTGAAAATACAGGATCTCGTTTTTTCGCATTCCGCCGGTACATTTTCAACTTAGGATCCTGTAAATTGGCCGGTACGCGAAGTTCTTGTTGTTGACTCGTCGCGTTTAAGGCGACATCGATGAAGAGCTGAGTTTGCACCCAACCTCCCACTCATTTGATCCGCATCAACCCTCATTGGACTCTCTTTGTTTACCTAATGTACATAGCGAGAGCCAAAGTTACTTCCACCAGTTAACTGTAAAAAGACCAGAGATCCGTGTCATTGTGAATTTTACAGGTACAGTGGGCTGGTTGAACATTTCGCTCAGTTCCGCTGAAATTGCAGATATTTGGAATGAGTTCCTACATTGACCACCGCTGTGTGGCAACACCTTCACATGATCAAATCAGTACCCCATGTATTACTGAAACTTGAACCTGATGTGATCATCCTTTGTCTATGGACCACTTGTGTAAAGTGGTGTGTTACGCTCAAGCTGCCACTCCATGGAAAACGGGTTCGGAGTTGATGACAGACGCCAGGTAGCCCTGTGCGAACTACCTCATAGTACCTGACCGTTGACTGTAGGGTTAACCGTCTGCGATTTAACCCACAACTCACCGGTTGGAATCTGCGGGCGACCTCGCATTTTCTCTCTAGTTTTCATGTGCGACCAATGTTGGTCACGGATTTTGAGCAGTTCTCCGAGCTGGGTAATTATTTTGCAGACGTTTCGTTGCCTGACTAGGCAACATCATCAGTGCAGCTTCAGGGGCCTGGTTCGCAGTGCCTCGTAAGCGACTTCAATGTCCAAGTGCTTATTGATCGAGTTCTGTTTTGAATGCCAGGCTTCAATGAACTCACGTGAGTTCATCTGTTTCTCCGTCAAATACCACAAGAGCTCGTACGGCGTTGTGTCCAAGCCTATGTGACCGGCTATAAGGTCACTGACCACTCATTTCTGCAACCAGAAGTGAGTACTTAGTGTAGGGCGGATGAACAACCTTGTTGGCCACCGACTTTTCTGTGGACTGCTACTGGACACAAAGTAGGTGAATGAGCTACCCGGATGTCAACGGTCTTCGTTAATCGTCCCGCTGCCTTGCGAGTCAGGTCTTTATGACCAAAGGCTCGGGTGGGGTCTCTTAAGTTAGCCCTCTTGCATAGCCTGGGCAACTGGAAAGATCTCTTCCCACTCTACATATTAACCTACTAGACCTTCCAAAACTTTTCACTAACTTCCGTTTTTTTCCTTTTTGACTGTGTGTTGTGGCACCACCAATTTATATTGGTCAAGTTTTGAATAATAATAATAATAATAATAGTACACTAATCCCTGCATGCAAATTCTTTCCACATGTGCCCATGGGTGCTGCGTATTAAAAACTATTGAAACACTGCTTTCTCGTCATTTAGAGATACTTTGCTTCCAATCAACTTTGTGATAACAACGATCCTGACATCACCCGTTGTCCCACCGTATTTTGCACGTTAAATCCTGCTTGTTTTCATCAGTAACCACTTGCTCTCTCCTGCAATCATGTTAATTGTGCACACGTATCACCACGGTTCGTTTTCTTCCCACTTCGCACAGTCGTCCCTCACTTCACCAGCATACCTCCGCCAGTATCCTACTTTATCAGCAACGCACCGGACATACCAAGCCTTCACCACGTGGACCTAATTTGCCGAGTTTGGCCACCGAACTCCAAAGTTTACCTTTTCGGTAGTCATCTGCAGGCTCCAACTCCATCGACTAACAATGAGCCTACTGGTGCACCTCACTGGTCATCCGGGCACATCACCTCCCCACCACCACCACCACCACCCAATACCATAGGCGCCCTTTTACCCATTCCCCACGGCCTGGCCACTCAACGGTACGGACTGTTGTCCGCATCGAAACTACAATCGTCATCTAGTCCCGCTTCTGAGCAAAGTCAGCTGACGACTGATCTACGCGAATCCATTGCTTACGAGTCGCTAGCAAGTGCTATCCGTGAACATCCAGCAGCTGCGGCGGGAGACGAAGTCGCCGTAATGCTCACTGTTTCCAGTCTACCTGAGGCACGACAATTGGAGTTGATGAGACTTCACTGCTTGGCTGCCACCGCATTTGGACGTGTTCTGAGCGCTCCGTTTCATCTCACTCCGACCAGTAAGCAAATGTGTTCCCCCCCCCCCCCATTGTTAGCTTTCATCAACGTTTGCTTTATTGTGCTTTTGGACTCTGTGAATTGGAACATCCCATGTTGAACTACTCGGCTTATGATGTATGTGCTTCCTTGTACCTTGTTTGTTGACTGGACTACTGCATCCGGACGAGGGCACTGCGCTATCGTTTGCGGTGGTCCACTATTCCCATCCAGTCATTCTTCTCTTCGTTTTCCTTTTTAACTCTTCGATCAACTCCTTCAGGTTCCGCATTCCTTCCTACTTACTTTTGTAACCGGCAGTTTGTCACATGGATTTCCAACTTGACGCCTTTTTTCATAGCGCTCTCACACAGTACGCTTGAGTCTAATTTGGAAATTATTGTTTGAAATGACTTGGAATTGTCTTTATGCTTATGTTCGTACGACATTTCACTAGCATAATAAACACTACTAAACGATCAAACTGCTAATGTTACGTGAATCACTTTTAGGTCATTTGGTCACTCTTTCTCCTAGTATGCAGAACCCAGACAGTAGATTTCGCCTTCGATCACGCTATATAAAATAGCGTCGGAAACCAAAATTCATGGATATGAGACCCAGGACAATTTACATCACCACTCCTGGTGGGCGATTCTATAGCGATCGCTGGAGCTACTTTTCATTCGATTAGGTCGGGCGTGGTACAGCTGATAAGCTGACAAGCTCATTGCATTTTGTGACACTGTTAACAACCATATCTGATGTGCTGTCGCTTTGACTTACAAGGATGCCAGGTTCAAGTTATGGTAGCTGAAACTTTACTCTTTACCATCCTAATCACCGACGGTGACCACTCGGCTTGATGGAACTCTTTGTCTCACAAACTCATCATCTTGAAATTGGATCTTGACGTGGGGTGACTGTTTGGTCTCTTCCATTTCTCCTCTGACTATTCTGAGTTGTGCTTCTTGACCACTTCATGCAGCCCACACAGACAATTCAATGATTTGTGGTATCGCTAACTCAGTCTTATGTTCCTGTAGATTCTGGGTAGGTGCTTCTCCTATTTCTATGAAACTTGTCCCTCGGTTAAACCTTGACAAATTTACTGCACCTAGACTCCTGGGATATCGGTCAGGAACTCGCATCGTTTTCATGCCTGTGTTTCTGTACGTTCGCAGCATCTCAGTCTACATGCAACCGTGGTTATTCTGCGATTGGCTGGCCACTATCAACGTATCAATATTGTTACTTCTGGTGTTTGAACGCGTATTCGATGATGCCATCGAATGCTGGTATCCCGTAGCTGCTCCTTCACTCATCTTCTTTCTGTAGCACATTCCGTTTACCTCCTGAAGGCGTTGGAAGTGAGATATTTCCACTGAGAGATTGTCAATACCAAGCAATCGGGTCGCTTGTGATCTTGTTCATTTTGTCCGCTCCATCTTAATAATGATAATAATAATAATAACAATGGTATATTTCTCTTTGAGTGAGAAGCTGCATACATATTTGGCACAGATCAAATATGGACAGGTAGTAGCATGCTTTTCCATGGGCAATATGAATTTGTGGCGAATCAAAAACAGGTATATCTCTAGTCGGTGCGAGGTACAGTCCCACTGGCTATTACGATCCTTGGTGTACGGCAGAATCGCAAGAAGCAGATGTTATATTTTTTGAATTTTCCAAATTAGTCCTCAAGCTTTTTGGTGGACATTGCTAAGTGGTCGGTTAAATCTTTCGGGAGAATGTTGAGGTTTTAAAAGATACTAAGTGCAGATAAATAAAACATATAAGTGAAGTACTGTGGCCACTACTAGGACCGCCTACTGGGGACTTGCTCCCATGCGGGTTATTCTGTCGATGGATTTCATCCGCACTTACGTGCCCCATCTGGCCGTGTGACTTTTAAGGAAGGTAATCCATCACTTATTTCTTAGAACCAAGGTATCAGCAGTACCTCGACACACCGTACCGGCACTTCGCAGCCACCAGTAGGATGTGAGCCGGGTATATAGTGACGTCACCGAATCCACGCGGATTCGAACGGGTGACCTCCGGGTTACAAGGCAAGCGCGTGACCCCTTCGGTCACCGACGGACATACAAGTGACAGCTACCTTGCCGTTTGTTCTCTTCCATCATCATTTCCCTTCTCATAATTTCATTCAATGCACTCAATAAACTAACCCATCCATTTTTCTACGGTTGTTCCCACTCTGTTTCTGTCCATCTTACAGATATCGGTGATTTCCCCTCCTCCATCACTTCACCTGGCTCTTCTGATGGTTCCACAACAAAGTTATATACTGTTGAGTTTTGGATCAATAACATCGCGGTAGTTGATTGCCAGTTGCCTCTGAACAGCTCCCCTGCACCTCTAGTACATTTCGAATTGAACGGTACCGTAATTGGCGAAACAGGTAAGCCATCAATGAAAAGGTTCATTTGGTCCTTATTTTTGCTTACCTAAGCTACGGTTTTCCCTTCGTTATGATTAGAACAGATGCCTTCTCAATATACAATTTAGTGTGTACTCCACATTCGAAGAATCCCTATATAAACTGGCACTTTTTGTGAGACGAATTGCCTGGCTCCGACGGCATTCTTTTATCATTTTTGAAAGCTGGTGCTTGACATCTGTTCCATATCTTCAACACTGCAGCGCTTATGAGGTCTTTTTATACTGGAGATTATCGGCTGTTAACCATCTCTAAAGAACTTCAAGAAGTGCTCTGTGGAAATCTTCACAGCGTTGACCTTGTTCCAGTTATCCTCAAGCTCCACACATGTACTCTCCTACATCGACTCACTTGTTCTCGGGAGGGTGGACAAATTGGTGCTAAAGGCCAATCTGGTTTTCACACTTTTGAATGGAGCTTTCATCATTTATTTGCATTGCGTCCGGTATTAGAACAACGTTTCACTTACAGGCGACCTGCCGTAACTGTTCACCTTTAAATGAAATAACCTTTACTTCGATCGATTGCACTTGTCTGTTGTATTGTTTGCCATTGAAATACCTGCCTTAGCAGCCTGCTGCTACTTGGAATTCCCGTAACTGTGAGCCCCGGGACTTACACTAGTCTGAGTGAAACTTTCCCCATTCCTTTTCGACTTTTTTGGAATGGCCGTTAGCCCAGTGTACGAACGATGTCTCTAACTTCAAATTCGGTTGCTATACAGGCGCTTCTAAGCAGCAAGCTCTAGTACATGCTTCGTTATTCTAACTTACGCGTTATAATACCGGGCCGACTTGGTACCAAGTCTCAACATCAATGTACAACCGCTGATCGGTTTACTTATCTAGGCCGCTGTATTACTTACTTACAGTGCTTGCGGCGCTAGACATTACCATGCGCATTGGTAACGCCAGTCTCGCTTCCGATGGATCTAATCGCTTAGGGTTGAGGGACAGGTTTGAAACGCTACAGCGTCACATTTACCGACACACCACAACTTGAAAAACAAACAGCTTGTTTATGATTGATTGCCGTTGTTTACATAGCGCAGCACATTGTCTGATGGGATTACTGAATTGACTGTGCAGCAGTCAACCATTTGATGTTTGAGATGTTCGGCTTGAGTTCTTGTTTGCGTGGGATAGGTTGCATTCTCTGAGTAACTGTCGGCTGCCTACATTGGTATGCAATGTTTGAGGGTACTTCACCCGGGTTGATAAAGCCTCAGAGTGGTCAGCTAATGTCTTCTGATGGCGGGAAGAACTTGATTGAATGGCTTGTTTGGGATATTGCAAGCTGTCTTCCTGAATGCAACCCTCGGATTAAGCCGCACCAGTGATTAGAAACTCTTTCTGACTTAGCACAGCTACCAGACGAATAACACTGTTGCATTAGGTCTATTGTCTGTTTCGCCCTTCTTTACTTGTAGCATAAGCGCGACATCACTCTCGTCCTAACGGGTAGAGTGTACAATGCAGCCGTACGTTCGACCCTACGGTCGCGTAACCTGGCCCTCAGATCAGCCGACATAAAGAGGCTAGTTACGTTCGACCACCGGTGTGTTCGCAGTTTGGCTCACATCTGATGGGAACACTGGATGAGCAATGAACGTGTTCGACGCCTTGTTTACGGCACACGGAAAGGAAATGAACCGCTCAGCAGTGTTATTTCACGCACCAGGCTCCGATGGCTCAGCCACGTGTTACACATACCAGCCCACCGTCTCCCGCGACGTGCGTTGTCTGGGCGCTGGGGGTGTGGTTGGAAGAAGAAGAGGGGTGGCCAAGCGATAACTTGGTCGAGAGGAATGATGACCCTCACTTCGAAGCTGTCCTCGGTTGGAACGTCTCGGCTACCTGGTTGGGGTCCGAAAGACGATGAACACGTTTGGTTGGATACACTTCCTGACATTGCTAATAGCCGACTTCATTGATGTTCGTGTTGTGAGTTTCTTTGTCCCTCCCCATCCCTCTTAGCCTCCCCTCCAGCCACGATCTCATTTCTTGGTATAATAAATTTTTTACTGTAGCCGGCTGGTAGCTTTCCGTAACAGCGCCCATCGGTTGCTGGTAGCTCAGCTGGCATGCATCTGTTGCATGGCACAGTAACTGAGGTGTATCCACCTCTAACCAAGGTGTATGATGACGATGATTCACAATCGGGTTGCGGGTTCTTGCCTCACAGTGGCCAGATGGAATGCACACGGCTGATAACTCCCGAAAGGATGAAACAGCCGTGCAGTGCTTTTCCGGGCTTGTGATGGCTGACTAGTCTTTATATGGTTAACTTCTACTTATACCATTCAAATTCTCATTCCACTACCTTCTAGTCGGTACACAGACCAAACTACTTGTTATCGGCGGCTTAAGTTGGGTAGCAGTCGCTTGCTGAGGAGACTCCCTTGTCCTCCGCACTGAGGAGACAGCTGCAGTGTGTCACATCTAGTCACATAGCCACGTCAGTCGTTACCTTTCCCCCGTAGCCTTGTGGCCTTAATCGCGCACTCGCAAAGATTGTAGCCCAACAGGAGTTGGACGAAGTGCGCGCTTCTGGCAAATTCCGTAAGACTGTGATGGCTGTCTGGCTGAGTTAGTTATGTTGGACCCAACCTTTGAAATTAATCGCTTTGTGTCTTTACTATGCATTCACGAACCACATAGCAAAGACTCAAGGCGCTTTCGCCCATCTCCTCCACCTGTGTCACCGACGCGACATCACTCTCCCTGAAGGGCAGAGTTTACAACTATCCTATACGGTCGTGAAACCTGGCCTATTACTGAATACTGAGAATAGAGAGCGAGAAGATAAAACTCCGTGTTGCTCCATCGTAGGTGGATCGGGCACATGCGCGGAATCACCTCGCTAATTCCTACGCGGTGGCGGCATATTGCAGCTGCACTACATCTTATCCCTGTACGTTACGCTCCCTATACCTGTAGTCCGCATAGTGGGCGTCCAAGAATCTCTTAAATTCCGACACCGATTTCGCATCGAGTAGCGTCTCCGGCAATTTGTTCCAATACTTCACCACTCTACGCTCGAAGCATATAGGGTGAGCGATGCGCTTTAAATCCCGTACCACTAGTATAGACCGGTGTCCGCATGTGCTGCTTGGTGCGCGAACGTGCAGCGGAAGCCTCGACATAGGGAAGTGGCCCGGATGCAGTATCTGGTTCGTCATAATGAGATTAACTCGAAGCCGACGATATGACAGGGTATATAGCCCTAGTTTCCTGCATCGTTCATCGTACGACATACCCCTTAAACTGGGGATGAGCCGGGTAGCTACATACTGGACCCGTTCTAGTCTCTGCACCTCACCTATTGTGATCGGACAATAGACGGGTTAGCCGTACTCAAGCACCGGTTTTGTCATTGAAGAGAACAGGCGAACGGCAATTTCTTTAGACCAATTGCAGAAGCTGCGTCTAAGTGCTCAAATCAGGCGTAGTCCGTATGCGCACAGTCTTCGTGTTGTTGACTGACTAGCGATCAAAGCGTGAGAGTACACCTAGATAATTTACGGAACTGGTGGAATGCAGCGGGTGGCGGGACAGGGTGTACGCAAGCCCATTACCACCCCTTCACAGGCTCATAAACGAGGACTTAGCCGGGTTGACCGGTAGATCAACTTCTGCAGACCACCGGGATAGGCGGTCGAGGTCCTACTGAAGGACGTCACAGTCGTGGGGAGAATCAGTAATCCTCCAAATCTTCAGGTCGTCTGCAGACAATGCGCACGGCAACCGAAGAAGCTTCGGATCAGGGATAAAGTGGGCCCCAGTACTGTGCCTTGGGGTACGCCGCTAGTGCACGGGTACCATTCAGTTAGGTGGTCATCCACCTGAGCCCGCCATCTTCTCCCAATAGGGAATTCACTGATCCACTGGTGCAGTGCACCACCAACACCACACATCTTCAACTTGTGGAGCAGGATCTCATAGTTCATTTTCTCGAAAGCTTTACTGAAAGCAATGTAGATAACATCCACTGACTTTCCCTGGTTCAATGCTTGCAACCAAACCTGACGCGTCAACAACAAGTTGATGATGCACGAGCGGCCCTTTATGAAGCCGTGCTGTGCCGGCGATAGGCGATCTTTCGACTCCAGCAGCTGAAGAATCCCCTTTTTTACAATCTCCTCTGACGTGTATAATGATGATGGTGATCTATGCCAAAACAAAGGTGAGACAAGTCGGCTGGTAATATTCCACATTGCGTGAGTTACCGCCTTTGGGAAGCCGCTTCACTAGCGAACATTTCCAGTCACTCGGCAATACACACTCGGACAGCGATCTATTGAACGGATTCGTCACTTCAGGCGAGATGATGGCCGATAAGGACCTTAAAATAAGTGAGTGAAGTCCATCGGGTCAGGCAGGTTTCGTGCCGTCAAGACTGGCGAGTAGACTGCGGACATCTGCTACACCGTAACCCAGGCCATCGAGTACAACAGAGGCTGCACACGTCGAGCTCGGCATAGGCGCATGTCCACTTATAACTACTGAAGCGAAGTGCTCCGCCAATGCGGATGTGCCTTCTCTGCTAGTCGTCACAGGCTGTCCGTCGGTGCCCTCTAACATAGCTACGTCAGTTGCGGACCTCAGTCGCTGCTTCAGGTAAGCAAACAGTCTACTTGGGGACCGTTTTCGCTGAGTATGCAAGCTTCTCTTCGAATTGCTGACGCTTTTACGCTGTTGCATAGATTCCGCTGCTTTTTATATGCCTAGCAATCATCGGGAAAGCTAGACACGAGGAATGTATTCCACACAACGTGCCGCCGTCAAGCCATTTAACCATACTCTCTGTCCAACCAATGTGGCTTCACTGGTCCAGCTTCCCTATGTTCCAGGAGTACGAAACGTGCGCACAACGCTTGCACACCCACTTTTACAATAGACCAACAGGCTTCTACGGATGAATCATGCGGTAGCGACCAGCCTACTTCACTGATTGAGCCC